GGCATACCAGAGGAAGTACCGATATACTTCCTCTCCCATAAGCTCTCAGAGACACAACAGAGGTGGCCAGTAATAGAGAGGGAAGCATATGCCATCATGTATGCTCTCCAAAAACTGGACTACTATTTAAATGGTGCGGTCTTTACTATAAAAACAGAACACAAACCTCTGCAGTACCTATTGCAGGCAGAGTGGACTAATAATAAGAAAATTCAACAGTGGGCACTTAAGTTAAGTGGCTACCACTGTAAGATAGAGTATTTGACAGGAAAGGAAAACACGTGCGCAGATTTGCTCTCAAGAATACCGAAACAACTGGAAGAAAGATCTGTAAGGGTGGAACAGGGAGTAGATGATAAAGCCTATAGAATAGAAGTAATTAACTCTTATAAGCTAAAAGATCGCCCTATGTTAGAATCGGACGAAGAAGGGGACGCCCAGATAATAACCGATCCCTACTGGACAGAAGGAATTGAGAAGGAGCAAGCAGACAGTGAAATAGCTTCTCTGAGAGAGAAGGTGAAGGCAGGAGAGACCACCAAGTATGCCATAATAAAGGAAAGGCTGTATTATCTCTCAGGCAAGGATGAAGAAGTCAAGCCCAAGTTGTATGTGCCCAAAAGTTTAAGACCAGAGATATTGGAGCAGTGCCACGGGAGGTTGGGTCACATGGGAATTGATAGGACATGTGATCTCATTGGAAGAAAGTACTATTGGCCTAAACTGTACGGGGAAGTCACTAACTATGTTCGGAGTTGTGTAGTGTGCCAGTCGCAGAGCAGAAGGCAGGAAATGGCACCCTTGGAGGAAACAGACGTACCAAACTTCCCCTTCGAGAAGGTGAGTATGGATGTATCAGGACCATATGGGGAAACTGCACAGGGAAATAACTATATAGTGAGTTTTGTCGATTGGCTAACAAATTAGCCTGAAGCATTTGCAGTGCCAGACAAGAAGGCCAGAACTGTGGCCGGGTTGATAATAAGTGAAATCTTCCCTAGGTATGGTGCCCCTGTGCAATTGGTAACAGATAATTGCACGGAGAATGTGAACAGTATCATGAGAGAAGTTCTGACAGGTTTGAATGTAGAGCACATAAAAACATCTCCATATCACCCCCAAGGAAATGCTAAAGTGGAAAGGTTTCATAGAACCTTGGGAGATGTATTGGCCAAGCTGGTCAGAGAAAACACTGGAAATTGGGACTTGTATTTGACGCAGGCTCTGGCGGCCGTGAGGTTTACGATAAACGAAACCTCCAGATTTTCTCCTTACTTTTTGTTGTTTGGCAGAGACGTGGTCCTGCCTGTGGATAACCTGCTGAAGCCCCGAAGAAGGTATATGGGAGAAGATCATCATCAACTATTGTTGGAACAGCAACATAAAATATTTGTACAGGCCAGAAGAAGAATAAAGAGGGATCAGAAGAAAAGAAATGAGAGGGTGAATGCTGAAAGAAAGGTAGTAGAGTTGAAGGTTAGAGACCCTGTCTACTATAAAATCCACCAGAGAGAGGGAAAACTGGACCAGAGATGGCAACCGTACTACAGGATAGTAGAGCAGACGGGCCCAGTATCATATGTAATATGGGATCAAGTGGCAGGACGAGCGAGGAGGGTTCATGCCAATGATCTGAAGAAGGCTGAAATAGCTAACCTGGAAATGAGCGAGCCGAGGCCTAAGAAGACAAGGAAAAGGAAGGTAACTCTGGTTGAACCGGAAGAAATGGAGACGGAAGAAGACTCCGAGGAGGATGAGGAGATAGGTCGACTTGGCCAGATAAACGAAGCAGTCCGAGTGACAGAGTTGGAACCCTCAGCGGGGATTAGCGATGTTCAGTCGTCGACTGAATCGGTGCAGAGAAGACCCTGTGAGGTCGCCATCACACCCCCATGTCCGAAGAAAAGGAAGAAAAAGACGAGGAGGTCCAATCAAGCAGTCAAAGGCTCTAAAAAGAGGCACCCCGAACAGGACGAAGGGCCCAGCGAGTGGGAGGAGGAGGATCGAATACCCCTTTCCCAGCTCAAGGAGAGGATAAGGAACAGGAGAAATTTAGACAGAGTCGAGAGGTATTGAAGACATTCAAGGCGAAGACTCTAAACAGAAAGAAGAATCAGGGGATGAAGAAGAGGACAAAGAACCTCCTGGACGGAAGTTAAACACAGAAAGAGGGTTAGAGGTTGAACAGGAATCACCTCAGAAGATGAGATCAGGGAGGGTGAAGAACCCCAAATCTCAGTAGAACAAGAGGGCTGTGCAGAATAGAAGCATTTAGCGTCGACAGATAACGACACTGGCTCATCCAAAAACCTGCTGGCTGACTGCGGTGGATGTGAGTGGAGGGGATGGAGTCGCGGGCTGCACCTCACAAGGGACGGAAGAAGATTATTGGCATTATTGATTGGCCATCAGTGATGTCATGAAGTACGACCTTTAGAGTGAGCGCCACGCACACCTGACCGGACCATTCTGTCTGCTAGAGGTTAGCTAGAGGAGGGAAGAGCTGAACTTAGTAAGATGTTATGAAATAATTGCGTAAAGAATTGTGAAAGTACTATAATGCCCTAGGATGTGTGACCTTGTTAGAAAATAGGCGATTATTGGTAGTGATATCTGTTCCGTTGTTAGATAGCGAGAGTACATTCGAGATATACCAGGAAGAAGAAAGATATGAAGAAAAAGATTCAATCATAGAGATGATTGGTAGAGGCTTAGTCAATTGTACAGAATTATGGGAGCCGATAGTGAAGAGATTCTCTAATGTTACCTTAAATAAGATGCCATTATTAATGAAGCCAATAGGAAAGATCGATATGGATCAATTGAGGGATAAGTTAAGTGCGTTGGGAAATGAAGGTGTGGCTTGGGAAGACGATGAGCAGATCGCGATAAGTTGGTCAATAGTAATGGGTACATTCCTAGTTATAACCATCGGGGGTGTATTAGTATGGAAGGTTAGGAGTAAGAGAAGATTAGCGAACGACAATCTAGTGAGCATGCAGCAACTCGAGAGGGAGATGCCGAGCAGTGTTCCTTACTCAGACAGGACTGGCGAAGAAATTGCTGAAAGACCAACGGAGGAGGCTGGCGTGAGACCACCACGTGCGGCGGAAAAACCTCCCACAGCGGGAGAGGAAAACATTGACCAAGAAGAACAAACCATAGTAGACACATCTGCCCACAGACACACGCACATATTACTTTTGCATGTAAAAAAAAAAGAAAATGAAAAGAACATTACCCTTGCATGTAGAACAAAAAGAAAATGAAAAAAAACATTACCTTGCATGTAGAACAAAAGAAGATGAAAAGAACATTACAGTGCATGTAGAACAAAAGAAAATGAAAAAAGAACATTACCTTGCATGTAGAACAAAAGAAGATGAAAAGAACATTACATTGCATGTAGAACAAAAGAAGATGAAAAGAACATTACATTGCATGTAGAACAAAAGAAGATGAAAAGAACATTACATTGCATGTAGAACAAAAGAAGATGAAAGGAACATTACCCTTGCATGTAGAACAAAAGAAGATGAAAAGAACATTACATTGCATGAAAAGAACATTACCCTTGCATGTAAGAAAGTAGAATAGAATTGCATGAGACAAATGCATGGTGCATGTTAAATGATGTAATTGGGTTTAGGTGTCATTTACGGGTAAATGACAAATCGGTTAGGGGAGGATTGTGGCACCCTGCATTATTAGAAAAACTAAAAAGAAATATTCCTAGAAATATGATTTAATTTTTATTCGGTTTATTAACCAGTTGTTAGTTATTTAGACGAAGAATAATTGAGTTTTGAGAATAATTCTCTAATTGTATTTAGGCGATCCGAAGGGAAGAAGAAGAAGGAAAAAGAAAGAGGGAAGAAGAAGAAAATAAAAGGAGAGGAGGAGAAATAGATAATACGGTCATAAGCAAAAACAGGTGTCAAGAGATATCTAGGCCAACGCGCCTAACCGAATTTCACGAACAATAGAAATTGTTATTTGAAAGAAAAGAAAGAAAGAAAACAGACATGGGCGATTGATAAAAATATCGGTCAGAACATCTGGCCTACTTTTGTGTCCGCGGAATGTAGAAGCTCATTATCAGTTTGGAGAAATGGGATTTTTAGAACAATGGAAAACGAAATATTAATAAAAAAAAAAAAAGATGACTTTGGAATGAGAAGGTGACCGCTGGAATTGTATACAGATCCTGACCTGTTGAAGATTAGAACCCCCACGATGATGAAGTGAAGATATTTTCAAATTCAGATAATTAGGATTTTGACTGTCAGGCCTGAACGAAAATAAAGGAATGAAAACAATTGTTTTGGCTCACAGAAAGCGCCAGCGAGACGAGAAAAATTCTTCCTGAAGTCACATCTAATTAGCGGCGGGCTGTTTTGACAAAAACCCAAAAGTTGAGAAAGGCCGAGATTGTCATTTTGTGCGTGCAAAAAAAAAAGGCCAAATTGGATTTTGTTTTTTTTAGCAAGGTGGTTCTTTCCCAGAACAAAGCCGGGATAGACCACGCCCGATTGGAGACGTCACGAAGGACGTGGGAGACGCCCAACCAGAATCTCATTAGCCGAAAGCGGTCACGTGATCTGCGAGAAAGAGGAGAAAGGACGCTCGACCAGGACCCATTGGTCGAAAACGGTCACCTGACATACGAGAGACCGGGAGAGATGGGTATGCGCCTCCCACCCAGAGGCACTGTGGAGGAAGTAGGGGGTGAAAATAAGAGCGATAATGGGAAATCAGAACTAATGCGACTTTTGGAATTATCAAGAAAACCCTGACGCCGACAGACCCACCCCGGTTTGTTGCGGCGTCAATAAAAGCAGGGCCCCAATCGACAGAAATCAGAGAGTTGCGGGGTAGACGGCCAGAGCAGTTGGAGAGCGGACGGCGGGCCCTGTTCATTCGCCCCTTGCGGGCAAGAAGGGTCGGTCCGTTTGGCCCGGACAAGCAGAGAAGTTGCAGCCAAGTCGAAGAGAAGAAAATTACTCGAAAGCCGCAGAGAAGTTGGAGCGGAATTGCAGGCCAGACAGGAAGAAGAGCTGCAGGCCAGACAAGCAGAAGGATGGCAGGCCAGACAGGAAGAAGTTCTGCAGGCCAGACAGGCCGAAGAATTGCAGGCCAGATAGGCAGAAGAGTTGCAGGCCAGACAGGCAGTAAAAGTTGCAGGCCAAACAAGCAAATGAGTTCAGCCCCGGAAGGCAGAGAGAAGAGATCACCTCAGACGGCAGAGAGAAGAGTTCGGACCTTGGCGAGAAGAGTTGCAGGACGGAAGAAGAAGAAGTTACTTGCAGTTGCGTCTAGAAGAAGTTGAAACCAGGCCAAGCCTGAGGGTGGAAATTCGTCCAACCCAAATCGAAGTGAAGAAATACGTCCAACTCAAGCCGAAGCGAATAAGCTCGTCCAACTCAAGCCGAAGAGAAGAATCAGCCGTGAACGACTGGTAGAGATTAGCGCCCAGTGTCGAAACCAAACCACACCCCGACATACAGAATTCTAGAGAGTAGGCAACTCGAAGTCTTTAAATTGTATGATAGAAGCTTGGTGCCACAGTCCACAAAACTGGTCGGGAAGTAAGAATAATTTTTTTATGTAACGAACATTAGATATAAAAGGTTGTTACCCTTTCTTATCAGTAATTTTTTGCCTCGTGAGTTTTTTTTTTCTTTTGCTTGTGTGTTGCCACCCCCGTTGAACCCAGCTGGCATACGGCTCCGACTCCTGTTTGATCCCGTCTGTCTAAGATCTAATCACAACGTGGGTAGGCAGACCGGAGATCAGTACAGTTACCCTAGTAACCAGGTGTTGGAAGCGAGTTGGGAACGGCGAGGCTGGTAATCATCTAACCAGAGGGTTGGAACGTCACACTTGGAGCAGCGAGGAGCGAACAACTGACGCCGCGGCAAAAAACGTCACAACTGGTGCTGTCCGTGACAAGGATCGACCCTTGGGCGGCCACATCACGTCGCGTCACAGTTGGAGCCGCGAACGAGATCGAACGACAGAGTCGACGCTGCGACCAAGGAGGGGCGACGTCACACCTATTTGACTGTCCATTTAATATATATATAGGATTAATACAGATATGAAATGTATCACTTGATTGATTGGTGTTATATTCAGCACGTGTATACTGGATTTTCGCTGACCAAATTTTTTATTAATTCTCGGGCTAATCGTCAGCAAATGTCTGACAATTCTCTCGTTTTCCTGATTTTTATATTATGTTAGAACGTAATTTATGTCCTTTTTTAATGATTTTATATTAAATGTTTTGTTTGGCATTATTTATTATTATTATAGACTTTAATTTTAGGGGTTATACGTATTTGAATTATTATCACAGTTTTTATTTTATTAAGCAGTGAAATTAATTTTTTTTAAAAATTCAAGGCATCATTTGATGCCATGATTCTTCAATAAGATGCCTAATTCTTTCAGAAAGATGTTAAATTTCGGCACGAAAAATTTATGATATTCGTAGATTCGGGTGAAGATTTGCATTTTCGGTTTTTCTTTTGGCTGACTGCCATGCAATATATCTTGGAATTAATGTTTAGTCCATTCTTTCTCGCATTCCGCCACTAATTTATGTAAGAATTCTTGTAGTCTCCATTCAAGAATCTATAATATTTTCCACTACATATCGATAGATTGAAATAAAGCTTTAAGAAAACTTTATTCAACTGAGATTACAAGGTTCGCGTATAGTGTCCTTTTATAGTCCCAGTATACAGTAATAGCTTTATCAAATAGAAGAGTAAGAAAACAAGGGGAGATCACTCTTGATTACCCATAACAAGTATATTTTATGTATGCACCAAATTAACTGCCAAATTAAACGTTTCCAAATTATTGACAAAATCGAAAATGTTTAAAATGGCAAAACAATATTAATTCCTCTGAGCAAGTAAATAATATTTAATAGAACTGTAGTGACAAAAGTACGCGGGTGTGGGCTTTAAGAAAACTTTAATCAAATGAGACTACAAGGTTTCCTTATAGTGTTATTTTATAGCCCCAGTAAACAGAAATAGCTCTCTCAAAAAAGTGAGTAACAAAACAAGGAGATACCACTCTTGATCATTCATAACAGCGTATTCTCAACTTTTCTGTATATCTCTTGACAGATAACAACCTTGTTTTGACTCATTTGGGACACGGAACGTTTAATCCTCCTCTGATTTACGATACAGGAATCCCTCGATTAATGCGACTAATGTATACATTGGTAACTATTAAAAAAAACATTTTTTTTTTACTATGGTTAAAATGAAGAATGATTTACCGCGCTAATCGAGAATTACGTATCCTCTCATCGAATGTTGGTATATAAAAATATTCGCGCATTAATCGAAATCGCATTAATATAATGTACATTAACCGAGATCTGTCTGTATTATAAAATGTTACGTTTATTTTATACTGCTATTTCATCAAATACAAATTCCAAAGGACATTCATGAAAAAGTCTTACTTATCGATTTTTTTTTTTTTTTCCTTTTTTTGTTTTTTGGTAAGGGCGGACACTGTTGGAGTAGTAAAAAGTGCACATTATGAAATGTAGGATAGATATCATTTGACCCTGGAATTGAAGAAATCAATATTGTCGTAAGCATCCTCTCTTGATTTTTCCCTACAAAACAGTCGAGAGGAAGACGTGTGAGTGGAATTTAATCCTTATCAAAGAAGGTGAAGGGAATGATTTTTTTGGCATGAACATACCATACTCAATCCTAGCAGGTTGAACTAAGAAAAACGTAACTCGTCCGAAAATCTGCCATAGAAATAGCGATGGAGCAGCTATAGTCTAATAACGTGTCTCTGATGGATAAAGGTGACATAATGGAGAATAATTTGTCAATCACAAGGCCGCGTATTATTTTTGAACTCTGTCGAGGCTAAACAGTGAAGACTGCACAGCACTAGCCCAGATAGGGCATATATACTCCATTCTTTGTCGTATCAAGATCTTGTTAAATAAAGGGTGTGGTACCAGGATTTAGCTATTTCCTCAAGCTATTCAAAAAATCGACTATTCTTCTAATATCTTTTCGAAGTCACGAATATATACGTTCCATGTCAGGTCGAACTTTAGACCCAGAAGAAGTTAATGTTGATTTAATTTTAAAATTATTATTTTTAATCCCGATTATTTTCATTCTATTAAATACAATATAATTCCGAGTAACCAAAAGGAGAAGTTTGTGGAGACATCATTTTTCCCAATATTTCCTCTTTCAAATTGGTTGCGCTTCATGAGCAAACAGCTTCATAGAATTCCTGTTTCGTGAAATAAATCATCCTTCAAATATTTCATTAAGATTAATTATATTTTATTAATTTTGACCCAATACAAGTCCCAAGTGTCACTCAAGTAGGAGGATTAGTGTAGTGTTTTATTGGCCTAAAAAAGGGCGAAAAGTGTGTCGTTATTGGAGCAGGTCAAATAACCGCTACCTCTAGACATGAAGAGGTCAAGGTGTAATTAGTCAATAACATTTCAGAGTTCAGACGGAGACGTTAGAAGTATAGTCTTGAAGGAAACTTTAGAAACAACCAGGAACCCAAGCCTAAAACGGAAACATTGAAAAACCTCTAATTCTGTTCAAAAGACAAAGGAGGGATGTGAAACGGGCATTAGGCGAACTTATCTACTTCTATTAATCAATATTAAATGAAAAAAATAACAAAGTTTTAGTAATAACTAACAGTAAGAAAACTGTTGATTAGAGTTAATGGCAACTTCAGAAAGAAAAGACAAACGAAGAAGCCGCATGCTAACGTGTAAACATTCAGGCGATTCATTGTATAGATGTCTGTTAATATTATTTTATTCTATCGCGCCTTGAATGACCAAATGATGATTTACATCAAAGAGATTCTGTTTTACCAAATTGCCCTCCAGACGTATTTACATTTTTTGGTTCATGAAGGACAGAATTTCTAAACAGATGAGAAGCTGAAAGGATGAACTCACGCATGGCTAACTAGGTAGCCAAAAGAGGTGTGTACACATGTATATATTGTGAATATGTTAAATAGATTTCGAATTTCTGTCCATTTTGCAATATCTGCTAACTGCCCCAAACTAATAATACAGTATATTTAAGAAATACTCTTCGTGTTGCTTTAGTAAAAATGAAGATCCATTTTAACAATTTCTATCAAAGAGTAGATGGAACAGGCTCTTGGGAAGATGCTTTCTGAATCACTAGATCACTATGGTTTAAAAGTTATCTTTCTTACATAATCTTTTATACTGTCGTCTTGCCTCCCCCTTACGTGAAACAATCACAATCAATAATGCCCCCTCTTGATCTCCTCTTGAGCTTAGTGTTTGATGAACAATTAGTAATGCATAATACGAATCCAGATTTTTCTCACACTGAATTTTGTAAATATTTTCTATAAAAATATAATCCCGCCTCATTTGCTATATTTCTAAAATAAAAACAATTATATAGAGAGAATACTTTCTTGCATCAAACAATGATTACAGGTGATTCATTGTATAGATGTGAAATTTTAATAACGTCAAACCAAATTAAACTGTTCGGTGCATTTGTCCTTGATACAAGCCACTCGTCTGCCACATATTGTCAGGACAGAGCGTTCCCGTGAAGCAAAGTTGATTGAAAAGTTGAATAGAGAGGAAACAGAATGTTCTGGTCTAGAGATTGTCAACTATTAAATTCTGTCAGCTAATATATTAATGTCGATTCACTCTGCGATTTACAGCAATGATGCTTACCAATTCTATATATATTTATGGGTCTCATGAGAAATACAAATACCATTTGCACAGCTGCAATGGTGGTAGAGTTATCGGAACACATATTTTTCTAATCCCACGAGAAAGAAAGGAAAATGGAAAATTTGGAATCTATAGATTGAGTTCTTACAAGCTGGTGTTCTGTCATGGAGCGAATAATGGTGGGTTTGTATTATACTATGTTCAGGCTGAAAGTAGTATTAATCAAAAGAATAACCTATTAAACATTGGTAATAAAGCGGTTAACTGTAATAATACGAGAAGCAGAAGCGCAGATTGATATATAGGTATTTGTAACACGGAACAATGTAGAATATGTACACACTGTGAATCTATCTATCTATCTATCTATCTATCTATCTATCTATCTATCTCCACACACACACATGCACATATATATACATATGTAAATAATACATAATTTATACATTCGACTCTCATCATGGAGTTAATTTTTTAATATATTTATACTTAAAATGTCTCATTGAAATAATCCCCACCACCTACGTATTTGGTTATATATATATATATATATATATATATATATATATATATATATATATATATATATGTGTATATAGAGATAGAGAGAGAGAGAGAGAGAGAGAGAGAGACAAACAGACAGACAGGGTAAACACTGAAGTCAACACACAGAGGCTGTTTCAACTGGACGCAATCATCACACCACGAATGCTGGATATTTTCTCGGCTATTTATATATATGGGTCAGTGGTGCAATGTGGGTAATCTACTCTGGTGGTTGTGTTGGGGGAGTGGCTTGCTTATTTATTTATTTATTTGTTTAGGTTAATTTATTTTTATTTTCATTTTCTATTTGTATTAATTATTCTTTTCGTTTTTGGGTGTTTTATTAACATAGTAAAAAATTTGGTGGGTGGGGATTTGCTTAGGTTTGTTTATTTAATAGTTTCTTTTGGTCTAGTAAGTTAATTAATGCTATTTATTCGTCCAATGTTTAGATTGCTTGCCGTAGTCTATTCTGTTATTTTGGCTGGTGAACAGTTTGTAATTTATTTATTTAGATTGATTGATTATTATTATTATTATTATTATTATTATTATTATTACTAATTTTTTTTGCTTATTTATACTCATTTTTATTAGTTCTGATGGTTATTTTAGCGGGGGAGATTTGTTAATTTTTTTCAATTATTTATTTCTTTGGATTATTTTTTATTAGTTTATTTATTTACTTATTTTTTATTTTACATATTTTTATTTATTCTATTTTTAATTCGATTTTTGAATGACGTAGTGATGTTTATTTATCGATATATAACAGCTATAGCTATTTTTTCGTCCAATTTTTTGCTTGGTTGTAGTAGTCATTACTGACGGTTATTTTGGTTGGATTGGTTTGTTAATTTGTTCATTATTAGTTACTTTATTTACTTATTTGGGTTGTCTGTTTTTACTTGTTTTTTTATGTATTTTATTTTTTATTTTTATTTATTCTATTTCGTCTATTCTAACGGGCGTGGTTTGTTTATTTGTTTATTATTTCTTTTTGGTTAATTTCTTTTAATTGTTTTTTTTTATATTTGTTTATTTGTACGTATTCATTTGAGTTTTTTTTTTTTTAAGTGACGTAGTAAAAATTTGTTTTCATGTCTGCATTTTGAGATGATCTCAGGTCGTTTATTTAGTAATTAATTTTGGTCTGGGAAGGTAATAATAGCTATTTTTCCTCCAAGCAATGTTTGCAGGTTTTTGATTGAGTTTTGTAGGATGATGAAATTTTCTCATTTTCCTTGATATTTTTCGTGTGATTTATGTTTTGTTTTTAATTTCCCAGATTTACTTGGAAAACATTGTAATGTTCGCGTATTTTCTATTTGTGAAAGATGTTTTGCGTGCATTGTTTCTTTGTTTCCAGGGTCCTTCATTTTCTTCTATGTATATATTTTCTTCATTTCCTGGTGATTTTACCGTTTATTGGTATATTATGTTGTTTTGTAAGCTATTACCGTTAATGGGTATTCATTCACACGTGGCTTCAATTTGTTTGGGCGCTTTGTTTTTTTTTTATAATTTTGCCGTGTTCTCGGTGCAAATCTAGATGATTTTTACAATGTTTTTGTTGAATATTTTGTGTAGAGTGCTTGATTCCAGGAAGTGTCTCTTTAGGAGCTTGAAGTATATTTTACCTACGTTTGTTTTTACGTTTTTGCTGTACGGTGGGTTGAACCATATATTTCTTTTCCTGTTTGTATTTCATGTGCTCCAGGCAGAGTAATGTGATTGTTGCTGGGGATTCACTATCTTTCGGGCTGTTTAGTAGTATTTCTTAGCTTCGTTAAATATGGGTTAATTGCATGGATTGCGGTTAATCGATTTTGGTATATTTTTATTTATTGAGGGAGGGTGATTGGGGGATATGTGTATGTACAGTGGTTTGTCTTTGAATTTTCTGTATGGTTTATATATGCATTGTAACATCTAGAAAATCTACTTCGTTTAGGTTAGTTTTTATATCTATGTCAAATCGTTATTTTTTTAAAATCTTTATATTGTTTTTCTAGTTTTGTCTGTGTTTTGTTTGTTGTAGCTTCTTAAGTTTATGAGACCGTCGTCCCTGTAGATTCCTGTGTCATTTTTATCTATTATTTCGCTTAGTTCGTGTAGTAAGTAAATACGCATGTAATTTTAAATGTAAATTTCGCATGTAGTTGCACCGTCAAAGCTTCCCATTGTAGTGTCAAATATCCCTTCTTTCTTTATCCATGCGTCTTTATTGTTGAATAGTTGTGATTTACGGGTGTGTTTAATGATATCGATTTAGTTTTTGTTTATTTTTATTTGTTCATGGGCTAACGTGATGGCCTTATCTAGCATCGCTTCTGTTATGGATCGGTAAAATTCTTTTATGTCTAATTGTATAACCTGGCAATTATGTTTGTTATTTATGTTGTGGGACCAGTCAGTTGTTGTTTTTGTGTTTTTCACTGGTTTACTCCTAAGGAAGACTTTATGAACAAGTAAAGACTGCTCTCGATATAGTCTTGGTGCTTCTATTGGCAATGGGCCCTCTATTTGTGTGAACTATTTAATTTTAAATTTATGTTGGCACAGAGAACACATTTTCATCATTAGTAACAATGCGATATAAATGTATAAGTGTCACAATCCTGGGTAAAACAATAAAATAAAATAAAGTGCTGCTTTATATCCTGGATAATTGTGTTCAGTTGGCTAGTGAAAGCTCAAAAATAATACCAATACTCATTTTGCATGTTTTCTGAATTAAATCATGAAAGGAACTATAAATGACACTTTGTTGAATAGAAGAAATTATAAATGAATTGTAGACATAGTTTTCTATCATTACACATCTTATCTGTCTTCCAAATTCCCATGAAATACGTCATTACTTTCTCTACTAAATTTACTAACCTCTATTCATCTCTATTTTGACCGATGTTTATACTGTAATTAACATAATATATACTGAAGTTAATATAATTAATGAAACAAACATTTCTCGACGACACAAAATAAAATTTAATTTTGATAATTCCACAAATTCCTTTCTGACATAAAATCCCAGAGACCCTCATTTTCGACACGTAAATTCTTTAAACCACCTTTTTATTGATTGAGTTTGGAGCTCATACATTGACTTTCATTTGTTCGATAGTTCAGTAATAGTATTAAATCCAGTGTTCATCTTTTGTGACTACACTGCGTAGGATAGAGCTAAACATGGTGTGTATCTTCAAAAGTACTTATGCAGTAAACATAATATACAGGGTGGGATAGAGCAACTTGCTTATTTTGAATATCAGTTAAAACACAAGTAATGCAGGTATACATGTAATTCTTTGAACTGCAACTAGTTCGACATTTAAATTTTATTTTTACCAGTTTTAAAGACGATATCAGTAAGATGGCGTCCATTCTTCTCTATACACTGAGTTAAAGTTTTGGGGTGACCTTGCTGTTCGTGGGAGGCCAGGTTTCTTTTTCTTTACATCACCCGTTTCCCGGAAGTTGTTTACCCATGAAACAATCGATTGCCGGCCAGGAACACGACCACGGGGGGCAATATTGAAATGTCTACGGAATGCACGTTGCGTTGCGACGATTGAGAGACAGCTTGAAAAAGATGCCTCAACAGCGAAAGCGCGTTCCAACTTCGTCCACTCCATGATGCTCACTGGGGTTCCTGAAAAATAAGCAAAAAATAAATAACGTACGTTAAGAGCCAAACTTTAAGCCCCACCCTCTCAAATAAATCCATCCTTACCATCCTTGGAGCAACCATCGCTTTAGGGCGCCAAATTTAAATAAGCAAGTTGCTCTGCCCCACCCTGTACAACTATATTGAATCTTTCATGGGAACCCGTTTTGCAGAGAATTGTGAGCCAACTTGAGTTTGTAGAAAACTGCAAGCACGACTGTATTTCGCTACAAGCATTAGCCTATTTGTACGGTCATTATTCAAAACAGACTGTCCATTTGCTGCCAATTAACGTCTCCTCTCTTTTTATTGAAAGATTTAAATTAATTCAATTGACCTATGATTATAAAAATTTTAACGTTTTTCTAAACGTCCACCGACTACTTCTGAATGTTTGCAAGAATTTCCGGAACCAAAATTAGAAATTCAGATAGAATTTTCTCTTTAGCAAATATCCAAAGCTAACTTGAAAGAAGACATATTTAATCTTCAAAAAATTTAATGCATTGTTTATCGCTATCTAATCTCTTCCTAATTACTTTTGATTTCGCTCCTTAGTAAAGTTTCTGTTTCTAATTTATCAACACCCAATAACTCCTTATTTCTAATAGGCTTCACTGCTTGGGGCGAACTTGATTAAAAAGTAATATATGGCTAGTAAAACATGAAGTAGCTCCATAATTGTTTCCTTGACGTTTTTAGGAACTAACGTTTATAGATTAAATATTATGATAAACCTTCCGAAAAACATTAAATATTGTTGGAAATACGAATGAAAATAGTGATGATACTCACAATCAGCCCATCTTAAAAATTAAGAATGTGGAATTAATAAATGTTAAAAATTCCAAATAGCTCAGTGTAAGGTTATGTTATAGTATTATAGCTAGGGAAATAATTGAAAACAGTATGGGTTACGCTCGGGTTATTTTTGTCCAACTGTGTACGATGATAAAACACCATGTTATTAATATGAGAACCCGAGTCGTGCACTTAAACAACCTCGTCA